ATAAGCCCTGTGGACGGGGCATTTCCAGGGCTCCTCCAGCCAGCTCAGAGGGTGACGGCTCCCTAGAGACCTGCTCTTTGGGGAGTTCAAAATCCATTCTGCAGCTGCTGGACTGGGTTTATTGCAAATACCACGGTTCTGAGACTGCTGGTTCCAAGGCTACCACAGGCTAGGAAGAGGAGTTGAGAAAAGGACCAGTTAAAACACCACAAATGCTCCTCAGATTACTTTAAGCCTGTAGTTAATTCCTAGGGTTCTGAAAACTGGTTGCTGAGCATTTTTCCAGCGTTCTGGTTGTCTTCATGGAGCAGCAGGTCTCAGAGAAAGGGCCTCCTCCTGCTCTGGGTTAATCACATTTCCTTAATAGCTTCCTGGGGTCTCAGAGACAGTGGGTAGGTCCCAAAGAAAAAAAACAACGTGGGAATGTAGATTGGTGCAGCCAATGTGAAAAGCCAGCATAAAGGCTCTTAGAAGAATTACAACTAGAACAACCATGTGATCCAGCGCTCCCTCTGCTGGACACATGCCCAGAGGAACGGATATCACCGCTTCATAAAGACAAGTGCACTTGCATGTTTATTACAGCACCATTCACGGCAGCCAGGATACAGAAAAACCGCAAGTATCTGTCACCAAGCAAATGGACAAAGAAGTTGTGGTGTGTGTATACGATGGAACATTATTCTGCCTTTAAAAAAATTAAGATTCTGTCATCTCCCACACCCTGAATGAACTTCGAAGACATCGTGTAAGGTGAAAAAAATTCAAACACACAAAGAATAAAGCAAGGGTTACCAGGGGCAAGCTAGGTGGGGAGAAGTGGGGAGATGTAAGTTGGAGGACACCGGTGGCAGATACATAGGATAACTATGTAGGGCTGGAAATCCAATAGACAACACAAGGTCTGTAGTTACCAGGGTCGTATTGCACACATGACTTCTGCTAAATGAGTAGATTTTAGCAGCTCTGGTCACCAAAAAAAATGAGTAACTGTGAAATGATGAGAATGTTAGCTTGCTTCCCTCTAGTACTCATCTTACTGTATGTATCTCATAACAGCATGCTGTATTCCTTAGACACAATACACTTTCTATTTGTGAAAAGAAGGAAGAGAAAGGCGTTTGTCCTAGCAGATACGAAGGCAAGTGCCCGGGCTCAATGTCCACCTGCAGTTCCTGTCTGCAGCTTCCTGCTGATGCAGACCTGGGAGGTGGCAGTGATGGCTCAGGCGGCTGGGTTCCTGCCGTCCTCTCAGCTGTGGGAGACCTCGATTGAGCTCTGGTTTCCTGCCAGCACTGTCCCCCTTGAGCTATTGGAAATGCAAGCAGACCTCACCAGAGCAAGGGGAGCAAGTCTGCAGACCCTGGCTTCATACTGAGAAAACATTTCTGTCCCTGACGTTAAGATTTGCTCCACCAGATTCTGGTCCACAACTCCCTTGCAGAAGGAAAAGGGGGGGGGGGGGGTTGCAGTGCTGGTTGAGACATGTGACCATTCACGTTCTACCTCATCGCCGGTGGCTTCAGACATTTTTGCTGTGAAATAGTTGAACTGCACTCAACAAATACACAGAACAAGGAGAGCACCCAGGGGCACCTGCTCTTCTCTCTGGCCCCCCAGGACAGTGAGCTGTCCTGGGCACAGGAGACCCAAGTCTTCCAGCTGCTGTAAAAAGCTGAGTGTTCCAACAGCCACACCTTCCAAATGTGGAAATGCGGCTTTGGATCACTGAGAACCATGTTTGCACCAGATTTCTGACCCTTACCCCAACCCTGAGCCTCACCCCATTCCTAAAGCTTGCTCTACCCCTGACCTGAGCTCAAGGCCCAATCCCAGGCCCTGTTCCAGCTCTAGGAATTGCCTCATCTGATTCTTTGTCCCTGACCCGTGCTCACTGACCAGGCCTCTGCATCACCTACAAATTCCACCCAGGTCCTCTTCCTGCTGGGTTCTGACTAGATCCTATTTTTCCAACACAGCCAAGTCCAGTCCCAGTCCCCAGACAGTTCCTATTTGACCCAGTGTGTGAGGTGCTGAGTCTCTAGCCCTACCCATCCGACACATCTTACCCCTCCTGCAGATGCAGAGCTCAGCTTCCTGAGAGGCAAAAGAGACCAAGGTGCCCAAGCTCACAGCCCCTTCGCCTTTCCCAGGCAATATTTTCTGGGATAGTGCTTCTCAAACTGGAATGCACATAGGAGTGACCTGGAGATATTAAAAGTGCAGATTCAGGGGGCAGGCGTTTGGAGCTGCAGCTTAGATACAGCCTGGGGTGCCTACATTCCGGGTCAGGGTGCCTGGGTTTGTGTCCCTACGCTGCTCCCATTCCCAGCTTCCTGATAATGCACAGGTGATGGCTCAAGTACATAGGACCCTGCCACACACATGGGAGACCCAGACTGGGTACCCAGCTCTTAGCCTCTGCCTGGCCCAGCCTCAGCTGTTGCAAGCTCCCTCCCTCCCTCCCTCCCTCCCTCCCCACCCCACACACACACAAAGTATCATAGATAATAGATCTGCCTCTGCATTTCAAACAAAATCTAAATAAATAATGTTTTAAAAAGAACTGCAGAGGGATGGACATTGTGGCACAGCAGGTTAAGCCACGGCTTGGGACACCATATTCCATATCAGAGTACCAGTGCAGGTCTCAGCTCCTCTGCTTCTGATCCAGCTTCCTGCTTATGTGTCTTGGTGGCAGGAAATTCTGACCCAAGTACTTGGCTTCCTGCCATCCACTGGGAAGACCCAGATGAGTTCCTGGCTCCTGGCTTTAGCCTGACCTAGACTCAGCTGTTGTGCACATTTAGAGATTGAACCAGAGGATGGATGGATCTCTCTCTCTCTCTCTCTCTCTCTCCTTCTCTCATTTCTCCCTATCTCTTTCACTCTTTCAAATATATAAATCATTGTTTTAAAAAAAACTAGAAATGTTATTTTCCTATTAAAAAAATACAGGGGCCAGTGCTGTGATGAAGTGAGTAAAGCTGCTGTCTGCAGTGCCAGCATCCCATATGAATGCCAGTTCAAGACCTGGCTGCTCCACTTTCCATCCAGCTCTCTGCTATGGCCTGAGAAAGCAGCAGAAGATGGCCCAAGTCCTTGGGCCCCTGCACCCACGTGGGAGACCCAGAAGAAGGTCCTGGCTCCTGGCTTCAGATCGGCCCAGCTCCGGCTGTTGCAGCCATTTGGGGAGTGAACCAGCAGATGGAAGACCTCTCTCTGCCTCTGCCTCTGCCTCTGCCTCTCAGTAACTGTGCCTTTCAAATAAATAAATAAATATTTTTAAAATTTAAAATATATATATATACAGACTCAGATTCATAAGGTCTTGGGTAAGAATCTGAACCTAGGTTCAAGCGAAACTGTTGGTCTGGGGAATGCAGTGTGAGCAGCAGGTTTCTAGGATACTAATTACTGCAGTTTTGCAAAAATTAAAAAAGCAGTTCACAGTAACAGCCCCAATTTCCACCAAGGGAAGAGGGGAACCTGTTCCTTTGTGGGACACTCCCACCCACAGAACCTGGAGCCTGCTCCACGGATCTTTTGCACTCAGCACCAGAAGTACCCATCTGAACTTCCCTTAATAATTTCCTACTCATGTGTCTTGCTTACCAATCACCCATGTGGTTCCTTTCGAGCATTCATTCATTCATTCTGCACATGTTACTGATTCTTACTCTGTTGGGGCTATAGGAATACAGCAGGCATTGTCCCTGTGGTCAGTAAGCCGACTGGCCACTAAAGGAGACAGATGTGCAAATGAACCTTTTCAGCACGATATGGTGAGTACAGTAGAGCATCTGTGTGTAGTGCAGAGGGAGAGCAGTCCATCGCCCCCGCAGGGGAGCCACCAGTAAGCCACTCTGAGCTAGAAGGAGCCCGGACTTAAACTAACCAAGAAAGGGAGCAGGTCCGTAAAGCACAGGGTACCTGCAGTGTGGAAGAGCAGCCTGGCAGAGGTGCCAGTGAGATAACAGCTGGGGGGGGGGGGGGAGTGCTGTACACACCTGGGGTTGCTGGAGGACAGTGAGCAAGGGAGGAGGTGTCTGGGAGGAGTCAGAGGCTGATCCCAGAGCACTTCACCTGCCACGCTAAAGAGCTTGGACTGTAGCCTAAGGATTATGAGGAAGCCATTTAGGGTCTTAAAAATTCTGACTGGTCATGTTTGGACTTACATAAATCATGTTGGGTAGCTACGTGGAAAAATAGAATTGAAAGAAGCCAAACAAGAAACAGGGGGACCCATGAGGAAGCTGCTTCCACGACTCAGACCAGCTGATGTGGACCTGAGTTACAGCACTGGGGGTTGGTGTAAGAAGGAGGGGACAGGTCCAAGTGTTGTTCCAGAAGTATTTGGAAACACGTGCCAGGATCTCAAGATGGGTTGAAGGGGGTGGGCAAGGTTAGAGAATAGAGAGTGAAGATGGCCCCCGAGTTTGGGCTTGGGGAACACTGATGCATCAGCCAAATCGTAGCAAACAGGATGAGTCTCCGGTTGGAGGTGTGGGACCAGATCCCACCCCCTGTGCTGACGGAAGCACTCTGCAAAATTCCAGACTCATCTAATTAGCTGCTCCCTGGACATATCCACTCTGAAGTCAGCATGCCAAAACCCACAGAACCATATTTCCAAAAAGCATCTCCATAGCCTGGGAGATTCCATCCATTGGCCAGAGCGAGAACTGTCAGAGCACTCTGCTAAGAACAGAACCCAGGTCTCCTGACTCCTCCACTCTGCCTTATTTTCCCTGTTCTTTCTCTTCTGTTTCTGAGCCCTTGAGGCCTTGAATCTGATCATTAGCACCAGTCTGTCCAGAGAGTGCCTGTCCTTTGGCCCGTACCTGCTCTCCTTCCAACCAGTCATGCCTAACCCTGAACATTCTGTTTGGTTTCCATGTGAGGCAAAGGCAGGGCACAGTCCACAAAGCCCTGGAGCTGTGCTAGGAGAACCCAACCAGAAGTTCCAGCTTGCATAACCTGAGCAGACCTGAGGGCCCAGTGAAACCAGGGCACTCCACATGAGTCAGCACTCAGCCCCGTGAGGCTGAGACTTGAGACGTCTCCCTCTCCCTCTTCTTGCTCACCTCCGAAATAAACCAACGCATTCCTGCCCTGTTAGCTGGGCAGAGGCCCCAGAGTGCAGGAACAAGGGCACCATCCACCCCTTCACCCTGCAGCTGCGCCCTCTGGAGGGATTCCACACACCCTACTCCACCCTGCACTGGGGACGCTGTGGAGCAGGAGCCAAGGAGCAAAGTCCTACCACAGGAGGCCAGGGCAGCCGTGTCTGCAGAGGCAGAAGGCCAGGGCCACAGCAGAAGCGCCACTCAGAGCCGCACCGCCATGGATGCCCTGGTGCATCTCCTGCAGCTGCTGGTTCTGCTCCTGACCCTGCCTCTGCACCTGATGGCTCTGCTGGGCTACTGGCAGCCGCTGTGCAAAAGCTACTTCCCCTACCTGATGGCCGTGTTGGCTGAGAAGACCAACCACATGATGGAGAGCAAGAAACGGGAGCTGTTCAGCCAGATAAAGGAGCTAAAGGGGCCCTCCGGGAAGGTGGCCCTGCTGGAGCTGGGCTGCGGCACAGGGGCCAACTTCCAGTTCTACCCTGCCGGCTGCAGGGTCACCTGCCTGGACCCAAACCCTCACTTTGAGAAGTTCCTGAAAAAGAGCATGGCCCAGAACAAGCACCTGCAGTACGAGCGCTTCGTGGTGGCCGCTGGAGAGGACATGCGCGAGCTGGCCGACGGCTCCATGGACGTGGTGGTCTGCACGCTGGTGCTGTGCTCCGTGCAGAGCCCAGAGAGGGTGCTGCAGGAGGTCCGGAGAGTGCTGAGGCCGGTGAGCAGGCGTGGGCCGGGCAGTGCAGCTTCAGTGGGGGGCCCCCAGGGTGGGGGTCTAACAACCAGCACCTGAGACACCCCCATCTACCTCCACCTGCTGGTGAGTGGGAGATACGTCCAGTGCTACGAGGGGGTGCAACAGGACGGGGGGAGGGGCAGGCAGCAAGAACATCTACGGAAGTGAGGTTTAAAGGGGGTTCAGGGGCAGGCATTCAACCTTGCCCTTAAGACGCCCATGCCCCACATACGGAGATCCTGGGTTCAACCCCGCCTCTGACTCTTGTGGCAGACCCTGGGAGGCAGCAGTGATGGCTCGAGTAATTGGGTTCCTGCCACCCACACCGGCAGCCGGAATTGAGCTCCTAGCCTCTGGCTTTACCCTCAGCCCAGTCCTGGCTGTCATGGGTATCTGGGGAGTGAACCATCAGATGTAAGCACTCACTCACTCACTCTCGCTCTCGCTCTCGCTCTCTCTCTCCCCCCATCTCAAACAAGAATAAAGGAGTAAGCCATGGATGGAGAGAGTGGGAAAATAAAAAATGTCCTAGGTGGAGCTGTCAGGGGAATGTGGGGAGCAATCCGGACTAGACTAAGTTACTCGAATTGGGACTTATTCTATGCATCTGCTCTCCCACAATATGGCGCTGGGAGAGAAGTAAACAGCTTCCGCACAGCTGCCTCCAGTTCAACTAATAAACTGTAGGACTTGCTCCTGATTGGAGGAGAGCAGCGTACTCGGCATGTGGGCAGCCGAGTTGGGATTGGCGGAGGAGGACTATAAAGGAGGAGAGAGACGGCATGCACCAGGAACATCTATGGGGAACATCTAAGGGAACCCGTGCAGCCCCCGAGAAAGCCGGCCGGCGGTGTGCCGCTCCCCTGCGGAAGTGGGGAATGCGGCCAGGGGGAACTGCCCTTCCACGGAGGTGGAAGGGATAGTAGCCAACCCGGGAAGAACCAGCAGCAAACCCGGGGAGGGCCGAGCAGACGAAAGAACAGCGCAGGGTCCTGTGTCGTTCCTCCACGAAGAGGGGGAGCGACATAATGGTGCCGTGACTCGGATATGAAGCCTAGGCAGGGTTCAGTGTCGTTCCTCCATGAAGAGGGGGAGCGACATAATGGTGCCGTGACTCGGATAGGAAACCTAGCTCGGATAGGAAACCTAGCTCGGATAGGAAACCTAGGACGGATAGCAAACTTAGGAGGGAAGAAACGGGAAGAAACGGGAAGAATTGGGAAAATATCGGAGAGAGAGACTAGCAAACAGCCTAGGGAAAAGCCGGACGAAAAAGGAGCCAGAAGAAGCTATTGAAAGCCTAGGCATAGACTCAGATACGGACTACGGGGGGAAGCTGGGAGACATCTCTAAGGTCGAAAGCGAAAGTGAAAGCTAGAACAAACAGACTCGGACTGCGGACTGTGGGGAGAGGCCAGGAGAAATGAGGGAGGAATATCGTTGGAGGAAAGCTTGGGGAAACATACCGGGTAGAGAAAAATGTTAGGGAAATTGAAGCCGCGGGGGGCAGGCCAAGGCGGACACGAAAGCCACTTTGGGATTCTCAAGTTAGCCCGGGAATAGGGGGCGAAAAGTTGAAACCAGAAGCTGAAACGTGAGCCTGGTTGGGATCCGTCTGATTAGCCCGGGGAGCAAAGGACGGGAAGCCAAACCGTGGGGCGGAGACGTACGCTGGGTTGAATTCGCCAGGCTAGCCCGGGGAACTTAGATTGAATGCTAGTGGCGGACACGTAAGCTACGCTGTGTTACTCGCGGAAGCCGCCGCGTGCAGAGAGAGCACGGGGCGTGAATAGATAGGGAACGGGGCTGGCGTAGGCCGTGGTGCAGACGCGAAGGGCGTGGAGACCGCGGAGCGCGCGAAGCCAAGCCGCGCAAAGCCGAGCCTCGCAGATGAGGCGCGGGCTGAAGCCGCGCAGAGCCGGGAACCCGCCGGCGGGGCGAGGCGCCGGGAAGCTGCGGGGATAAGAGAAACAGAAGTTTAGAAGTAAAAGAGAAATAGGAATGCTGGAAGATAGAAGTAAAATGGGAGAAATAGGAATGCCCGGAGATAGAGAAATAGAGAAAAATAAGGCCTCCCCTCAACATGGCAATGAGAAAGCTTGGATTCGGTCTGCCTGATTAAGTGAGGCGATGAGCACCTGGGCGGCTAGCAGCTTATGCGCCGCAGGTCACGGAAGACAGGCACGAATTAACATCAGTAAGGCTTCCCCACAATACAACCATTAGGAGGCTTGGATTCGGTCTGCCTAATTAAGGCGGTAAGCGCCAGCAAGCAGCTCGACCAGAGTATGAGCTGCAGGTCACCGAAGATAGGCACAAACCAACACTAATAAGTCTCCCCCACAATACGGCAATGAGAAGGCTTGGATTCGGTTTGCCTGATAGGTTTTGTAAACACCTGCAGGCAGTTCTAGCAGAGCAGAGCATGCGCTGCAGGGCACCGAACACAGGCACGCATCAGCGCCTAAAAACCTCCTCACAACATGGCGAAGAGAGGACCCGGATTCGGTTTGCCTGATAGGACTTGTAAGAGCCTGTGGCAACTCTAGCAAGTAGAGCAGAGTGTGTGCCGCGGGACACTGAAGACAGGCGCGTATCAACGCTAAAAAATAAAAAGAAAGGGGGATCTGTGGGGAGCAATCCGGACTAGACTAAGTTACTCGAATTGGGACTTATTCTATGCATCTGCTCTCCCACAATATGGCGCTGGGAGAGAAGTAAACAGCTTCCGCACAGCTGCCTCCAGTTCAACTAATAAACTGTAGGACTTGCTCCTGATTGGAGGAGAGCAGCGTACTCGGCGTGTGGGCAGCCGAGTTGGGATTGGCGGAGGAGGACTATAAAGGAGGAGAGAGACGGCATGCACCAGGAACATCTATGGGGAACATCTAAGGGAACCCGTGCAGCCCCCGAGAAAGCCGGCCGGCGGTGTGCCGCTCCCCTGCGGAAGTGGGGAATGCGGCCAGGGGGAACTGCCCTTCCACGGAGGTGGAAGGGATAGTAGCCAACCCGGGAAGAACCAGCAGCAAACCCGGGGAGGGCCGAGCAGACGAAAGAACAGCGCAGGGTCCTGTGTCGTTCCTCCACGAAGAGGGGGAGCGACATAATGGTGCCGTGACTCGGATATGAAGCCTAGGCAGGGTTCAGTGTCGTTCCTCCATGAAGAGGGGGAGCGACAGGGAAGATTTTTGACCTGTGTGTAGAGAGAAAAGTAGTTCAGGATCTTTTCCAAGGCTCTCGCATGCATGGCTGAGGGGGGAATGGAAGGAAGGGCCACTTGCTGAAAAAAGAGAAACCTCCGTTGTGTGGGCTTCTGAAGCCCAAGGTGCCACCAAGACAACAGCACAGAAGCCAAACAGGCAGGCAGGAGTCGTGATGGGAGGTGGAAACAGATGAATCCTGGAGCTGCAGATGCAGACAGCGCCAGCGTGGGCTGACAACTCAGAGAGTCGGGGTGAGTGAGTTACCCAGGGAGAGGAAGCCCCACACTGGGCAGGAGTCAGGGCTGAGGTTTCTCGGGGATGTTCGAGGAGATGTCCAGGAAGGAGTTGACTACAAAAAGTTCAAGAAAAGTGGAATTCAAAGATAAGTTTTGGGGCCAGTGTGTGAATCAGTGAGTTAAGCCTCCCTCTGCTGTGCCGGCATCCCAGATGGATGCCAGTTCCAGCCCTGGCTGCTCTGCTTCCAGTTCAGAGCCCTGCTAATGTGCCTGAGAAAGCAGCAGAAGATGGCCCAAGTGTTTGGCCCCCTGCCACCCACACGGAAGACCAGGAGGAAGTTCTAGCCCAATCCTGGTTGTCACATGTTGCTGTGGATTCATTCTGAGAGGAGGAGCGTGGGGCAACAGGTGCAAAGTCACAACACAGACCCCAGGAGTTGGGTGAAAGCAGGCCTGAGGTGAGCAGCCCACAGACTCATTTATTTCAGTTGGTGCAGTAGCTTACATAGCTAAGGCAGCCAATCCAGTCAAGGGGCGGTTTATCCCCCAACCAATCACAGCGTGTTGCCAGGCAGGCTCTGTTGCCAGGTGGGTTCCAAAGCCATTTCCTGAGTAACTGACACTTGCTCACCAGCGGCCATCTTGGCACAGCCTTCTCATTCCTCCACAGTTGCAGCCATCTGGGGAGTGAACCAGTGGATGGAAGATTTCTCTGTCTCTCCCTCGCTCTTTAATTCTGCCTTTCAAATAAATAAATAGTTAAAAAAAAAAAAAAAAGATAACAGGCTGGCGCTGTGGCGTAGCAGGTAAAGTTGCTGCCTGCAGTGCCAGCATCCCATATGAGCGCTGGTTCTAGTCCCAGCTGCTCCACTTCTGATCCAGCTCTCTGCTGTGGCCTGGGAAAGCAGTGGAAGATGGGCCAAGTCCTTGAGCCCTACACTCATGTGGGAGACTCAGAAGAAGCTCCTGGCTCCTGGTTTCAGATTGGCCCAGCTCCAACCATTGTGGCCATCTGGGGAGTGAACCAGTGGATGGAAGACCTCTCTCTGCCTCTGCCTCTAATTCTGTCTTTCAGATGAATAAATAAATCTATTTTAAAAAATAAAAAAGATAATTTTTGGGTACAAAAATTTTGCAATCCTTGCATATAAGAAGTCTTCAAAATCTTTGTGAAAATGCATATTATGAAACAACTACATGCAGATTTCAAGTTTCTCTGTACCAAAATAAAGTTTAATTTCTTTAAGAGGGAGAGAGACAGAGCTCCTATCTGCTGATTCAATTCTCAAATGCTCACAACAGCCAGGGGTTCAATCTGGGTGTCCCACGTGGGTGGCAGGAAGCCACTTACTTGAGCCATCACCACTACCTCCCAGTTGGCAGGAAGCTGGAGCCTGGAGCTGGAGCAGGGAATTGAACTCATGCCCTTCAATACGGGACACAAGTGACTCGGTTGCAAAGCTAAACACCATCTCCCAAACTTATCTTTTCATCCATCCATAATTCCACAAACACTTTTGAAATACCTTGTTTTTATTTTTTAAATTTATTTTAATTAGTTTGAAAGGCAGAGTTTTGGTGCGAGGGGATAAGTGGGGGAGACAGAGAGAGAGAGAGAAGTCTTCATCTGCTGGTTCTTTCCCCAAATGGCTACAATGGCCAGAGCTGAGCCAATCTGAAGCCAGGAGCCAGGAGCTTCTTCCAGGTCTCCCACATGAGTGCAGGGACCCAAGCACTTGGCCATTCCCTGCTGCTTTCCTGGGCACATTATTAGGGAGCTGGATCAGAAGTGGAGCAACCAGGACTTGAACCAGTGCCCATATGGGATGCCGGCACTGCAGACAGCTGCTTAACCTGCTATGCCAGAGCGCTGGCCCCTGAAATTCCTTTGTATGCCTCTGAGTCTCAGGAGAGAGTTCAAGGCGCGTGTCCCTGTATGGGATGAATCAGCCCCTCCTGTCTTCCAGCGGCCATGCTGCCCTGGCCACCTCATAAAGCTCTCACTCTCTCCTCCACCATCCTGAGCGGTCTTTTCCTGCACCTCGAGGGAGGAAGGCGGGAGCAGGGAGTGCTGGCAGGTCAGGTGCCCCACCAGGGCTTCGCCAGGCTTGATCCGAGGGCCTGGAGGGGCGCAGCAGGTGAGTGACGCCCACCCTCCTCCCCTCCCAGGGTGGAGTGCTTTTTTTCCTGGAGCACGTGGCTGAGCCGCGCGGAAGCTGGGCCTTCATGTGGCAGCGAGCCTTAGAGCCCACCTGGAAACACATCGGGGACGGCTGCCTGCTCACCAGAGAGACCTGGAGGGACCTGGAAAAGGCGCGGTTCTCTGAAGTGCAAATAGAACGACACCCCCCTCCCCTGAAGTGGCTCCCTGTGGGCCCCCACATCATGGGGAAGGCTGTGAAATAAGCTGGCCCTGGCCCCCACCCCAGGGGTCCCTGCTCCCTCCCCTGCCCCCGCCCCGCCACTCACCCACCAGCCCAAGCCACCTTCTATGAAAGGGAGCTCCTCTCCTCCCAACCTCTGACCTCTGACCTCTGACCTCTGGCAGGGACAAGCTCTGGCTTCCATCCCCTCTTCCGCAGAGAAAAACTCCCAGTTCCTAACCTGGTCAGACAGGAAGCAGCTCACCCCCTTCGTGTCCTTGACTGCACATCCCTGCACTGCTCTCCCCGCTTCTCCAGCTCGCCACCCCTTTCCCTTGTCCCCGGGTGAAGTCCCTCTGCCTTCCCTGGGAGGCTGCAGCTTTGTGCCCCTCAGCCAGGTGCACCCCAGCCAGGTCATCGGGTCCTCCCTCCCTCCCTCTCTCTGGCCACCACCTCTGTCCACAGCCATGGAGGAACCAGAAGCAGACCCTGGGATGAGGCTGCCAAACTCAGTAAAGAAGCCAGAAATGTTGTCCTCAATTTTTTTTAATAAATAGACAAAACCCACCAGACTGATGCACAGACTACAATCAGAGGAAGGAGGAAATGGGGGGAGCCCCTGAGTGAGCGACACAACCCCTCTCCAACCTCCAGGCCAAGGCACTTTTGGGGAGACAGGTCCTGGGGTCCTGGTGTACAAGGTGAGAGCCCCACCCTCACCTCAGCATGAGGACATCCCTGCCCTTCTCACCCTGCCCCCCCAGCCCTGATGGGCCCCCTCGCATCTCACAGCATTCTAAGGAGGAAGTGTTTGGGGGCAGGGGGTCGGTGCCCCCAGGAAGCAAACCCCTGCCCAATCCTGATGCAGCACCAGCAACCCACTCGGGCCCCTCCACCCCAAGGAGTCCCCTCTGGGGAAGCAGCAGGGGATACCCACGGGCAAGGCTGGGACAAAGGAAGCTAGGCAGTGGCTGGTGCCGGATGCCCATCGTGGCCCGGCTCGGGGTGCCCATCGGCAGCCAGGATGGGGTGGGCGTCGGGGCCCTCCCGCCGGGGGCTGCCCCAGTGGCTCCGCAGGATAGTACCCGTCTTCTCCTCCTTGAACTGCTGCCGGTCTTCCCGAGGGATCTTCACCGCGTGGTACTGGGGCACGGCGGCCTCGGGGTGCTTCGCCCGCCGGAAGAATCCCATCTGCAAGAACAGCCAGCCGAGGCCGTGAGGAGCCCGCGGGGCTGAGGTCCCTGGAGAGGACGCCCAGCTCAGCCCCGCTCCCTGCCCTCACCATCCCCGGAACAGGAAGGCCTCACCACAGCTCACCGGAGACAGGCAGGCCCGCACCCTGGGCAGTGGGCAGCTCCCAGAGGCCACCCTCAGTGCTGGGCCCTGGGTTCTCACATACAGCAAGACAAAAACCAGAGGGGGCCCAAGGTTCAGGACAAGGGCTTTGAAGGTACAGCCCAGGATCTTGGGCTCCCAAGGTCTCCACCCACCCTGCCATCTTGAGAAACTCAATAGAATCTCCCAGAACACAAACAAGAACTGGAGAGCAGGGGCCAGTGTTGTAGCAGAAGCCGCCACCTGGGATGCCAGCACTCATATGGGTGCTGGTTCAAATCTCAGCTGCTCCACTTCTGACCCAGCTGCCTGCTAATGCCCTGGGGAAGCAGCGGTGGATGGCCCAAGTGCTTGGGAGACTCCAGTGAAGCTCCTGGTTCCTGGCTTTGGCCTGATCCAGCCCCAGCCATTGCAGCCATTGGGACAGTAAACCAGTGTATGGAAGATCGTTTCTCTCTCTCTCTCTCTCTCTGTATGTGTGTTTGTGTTTGTGTGTGTGTGTGTGTGTGTGTAACTTTTTCAAATAAATAAGTAAATCTTTTTGAAAAAGAAGAGGTGAAGAAGAAAACAGCTTTCTGGACCTCTGCATATCTTAAACAGTGCATCACATGCCCCTGCACACGATGTAGGCAGCATGCCCAGGGCCCTGGCATCCGTGGACTAGGGGCACCTAGCCCCTCCCTAAACCATGACCCTGCTGGCTCTCACACACCAGCAATGATAATGTGCCCCTTGCACACTCACACTTGGAACTGCCCAAGACTCCTACATGCTCAGGCTGCTTAGAAAAGACATGCAGAGCTCACACCCCGCAAGCCCACCCGACACATGGAGCATGCGCCGGGCTATGCGCACTCACCGGTACAGCCTCAGCCCTCTGCTGGCATCTCACCTCAGCTCCTAAGACTCTTGGCACGCCCATGCAACCTCCTGTCTCTGCCTCACACATTGCAGATCCCCTGAATGCTGGGAATCTACACATACTCACACATGTGCATGCACACACACACTCACAACAGTTACCCCACAGTCCCTGGGCCCCCTGCTTCCATGGCCGAGGGCTGCACGGCCAGCTGGGCCCGGTAATAGTTGGTGGGATAAGATGAGCTCTGGCTGCTCCGCCGGAAGAAGCCACACTGGGATGTCAGGGGAGGGAGGAGGCAAAAGAGGCGGAGGATGGAGACAAGAAGGGTAGGGGTCCGGTCTCTGCTCTGTCTCCATGCTGCGGGAGCAGGGAACAGGCAGCCTGGCTCCCTGCAGGGTGGGCAGGTGCCCCCGCTTGCAGCCTGGCCCAGCCATGACACGGCCGCAGGAGGCTGCACTCAGTCTGACAGGGCTCAAGGAGCAGCTGGGGGGAGAGGGAGTCTTCCATAGAGCCCCAGGGCTGTGCCTGGTTCCCCACCCAGCCCCGGGTGTGGCAGGTGGCTCAAGGACACCCCTGCTCAGGGACATCATTCCCTGCACTGACGCGCACGTGTGTGTGTGTGTGTGTGTGTGTGTGTGCGTGCTTCTTCTGTCGAGCCCCAGATGCCCGCATGATTCTGTCTGCAGCCGTGAGTGTGCCAGAGCAGTTCAGTGGCCGGTCCGGAGACTGTCCCCACTGCTGGGCCTTCCTGGTCAAGGTTTCCATCCCAGACGTCACCATCCTACTCCGGTCGAATCAGCCCACACTCCCCGGCCTCCGTGACTGTGCCTCCCTGGCCCCACATCCCCACACCCTGAGCTTCTGCACCCCCTCCTTTTGGGGCCTGCACCCAGGGCCACATCCTCTCAAGCCTGCCCTCCACTGAACCCCACTGCACCTCCTCGACTCAATACCCCTGCCTTGTGCTGCAGCCCCACCTCACTCCAGCATTCAAGGTCTGCCTCTGGCGGGGACCCCCGGGGTCAGGCAGAGCCCCCGCTCCAGGCCCTGCCCGAGGCTCACCTTCCACAGGAGCAGCACCAACAGCGCCAGCACCAGAAGCCCGGCCAGCACCGCCAGGAGAATGACCCACCAGGGGACTCCTCCAGCCACCACAGCCACAGGATCCAAGTAGACCATCACTGGGGTCTGGAGAGCGAGGGGCACTGAGTGGGGGGTGGGGAGGAGAAAAGGGGGTGCTCCCACCTGCCCCCCAGTCCTGCGGCAGCTCACCACAGTGGATGCATCTCTAAGCAGCAGGTTCTTGATGGAGGACTTGACCGTGATGTTGGCTCGGACGATCACTTCCACAGACTTCACAGCCGAGTACTCCTAAAGGAGCCAGAAGCAGAGCCCCCTCCTGAAGGCCACGCCCCCTCCTTGCCCCGCCCCCCCATCTGGGAACTGGAACCCCGGAATGGTGCCCAACACAGAGGATGCCTCTGCCTGGCTTGGGTTAGGGCAATGCTGCCTCAGAGCAGAAGACATGAGCACGGGGGGACTTTGCAGGGTGCCCGGCGCTTCCCTCACCTCCAGGAAGGTGCTGTTCCACAAGCGGCCCCAGACGTGCAGCACAGCTGTGCGGTCGAAGCTGTAGAGCGGGCATCTGAACACCACACAGTTGGCCGTGCCCCGCGCACAGTCCTGGGGACCAGGACAGATGGGCTCTGAATGGTTTACTGTGAGTGCGTGTGCGTGCACACACACGCACACACACACACACAGACTGAGCCTGACATTGCCTCCCATTTTCTCTTCCCAACTTCAGACTCCCCTCCTCCAGGAAGTCTTCCCAAGCTACCCCTTTGATCCAAAGGAGCTGCTTACTCCAAATCTGAGCCATTTGGGTTGGAAATGCAAAGGCCTCTCCCTTGACAGTAGCAACACAGTAGCATCCCCAACAGATGCCTATGTCACCCAATGACCACCCCACATATTGGGCACCTACTGTATGCCAAGCACTTATCTCAGTTAAGCTTCACCATGGTCCTGGCACAGTGCATGCTGTCATTTCTCAAGGGAGGAAATGGAGGCCCCAGGAGGCCAGGTGACCTGCCTCAGGTCACAGAGACAGCAGAGCCAGTCAGTGTAGAGAGGTTGTCTGAACTCGGGCCCACGGTCAGCAAAGAGACCGCCCCAAGAGCTTCTGGGGACAGCTGAGGGGTTTGGTGCCTGCTCCTCCCAGCCTGACCCTAACGCACCTGGCCCAGGTGCGCACCTTCCTCATGACCCTCGTGCCTGAAAGTTCTTCTATGTCCATCACGTCATCGTCCACACACGGAAGATGTCTTTGAAAGCCTTTACATTCTGAGTCCTCTTTTATTTCGCTACTTTTGAGCACATTTAAAAACTCCATGGTTGTGACATTGTGAAAATCAAGCAGATATGCTTACACAAATTGACTAATCTGTTCTAAAAGACTTCAAAAGAATACCAAGCAAATCTCACAGGTGGCCATTACGTCTCCATAAAAATGCAATATTCTATACAAACATGAAAATGACTTGCTTGGCTGGCTGGCTCTGGGCTCCGAGGGCGCTGGGTCCAGCAAAGCGAGGAGTTAAATTTAAGGTCATGGCAAAACATCTGAAGTTCATCGCCAGGACTGTGATGGTGCAGGATGGAAATGTGGAAGGTGCATACAGGACCCTAAACAGGATCCTCACTATGGACGGGCTCACTGAGGACATTGAGCGACGGCGATACTATGAGAAGCCTTGCCGCCGGCGACAACGGACTCTGCAGGGAGCAGCAGGGGGAGGGGAGTTCTCGCCTCACAAGCAGCCCCCTGGCCCAGGGCTGCCCACCTGCCGCAGGTCTTGCACCATCCCATGGCTTTTTCTCCCATGGGTGCTAACAACATTGTTCTTACTCATCTGGTTTTCTACTTATCTGAGAGACAGACAGACTCAGAGTGCTCTCAGCTGCCAGCTCACTCACTCTCCAGACACCACAACGGCCAGGACTGGGCCAGGCAGGCCAGATGGGGAGCTAGGAACCCCACCCAGGCCTCCCACGTGGGTGGCAGGGTCCCAACCACATAAGCCATCACCTGCTGCCTCCCAGGAGGTGATCAGGAGTAGAGCTGGGACTAAAACCCAAGTATTGGAATGCGGGCCTCTCAGCTGGCAAGCCAACACCCATGCCCACCACAGGTGCTGGAGGTCCCCTCCCTGGACGCCAGCACCCTGAAGCTCCATGGTCCACGGCGGCCGCCAGCCCCCCACGCGTGGTCACTCCTGTGACGCCACTTGCCCTGCCCTTACCAGGGTGATGTTCTTCTTCTTCTCCAAGGAAGACA